CCAATGGACATTTTTTTCATATATTCTAAATTATTTTGTCCCCTAATAATAGAACCGAAATATGACTTTCAGAGTATTACAGACGCGTAAACGTTTTTCGAATATACAAATTTTCGTTCATACATTTAGTGTCGGTTTTTGAGAGCATCGAGGGAATATTCATTTTGGAAAATATGCTACGAATAATTTAGGAGCTAGTGTTGTTCACAAAAAAACAGATGTTCTGAAAAACAAAAACAAACACTTTCTCGGTAATCGAGAACCCCAAAATGGGTGTTTTTGTCGAAATCTCTAAATCGATTTTCCGAAGCATTATATAATTTCCTAATACGTAATACTAATACTAATACTATACTACGTATATTACTCCGTGTCGATAACGTAAAAAGGGACGCAGGATACCAAGTAAATCATCATTTTTGGCAGCATATTCCTGTACCATAAATACTAATATTAAAAAAATGTTTTCTATCTAGATTAAGTAGCTCCAAAACTACGATAAATCATGGGAATGCAGGAAATTATGTTATCGATTGTTCAAAGCATTAGGTAATTCGTCAGAGAATCGAACCTAGCTGATTATACTCGAGTACAAAGGATTTTATGCAAGTTTAGAGTGTTCTCGAACAAATGTCATTTCATTTTAGTATTACAAAATAAGAAAAATGAGATGAAGGCGTTTTATATAGTAAGAAAAATATAATAAGGGAAATCATTATTTTGAAAATATATGTGTTCTTTCCAAAACGAAACCATGAAATCTGAAAAGCAAAGAAGGTTGAGAAGTGTCATTGAACTCTTCCTCAAGAGCTCGTTTGACAAGAAAGCGCACTTGAACTTATCTTTAGAGATATTGAAATTCTATTCACGAATCGTTTTGAAGCGTCACACTTAGAGAGATACGTAAAATTGGCCAGTCTTCATTCTCCAATCGGAGCAGCATAGTAGATGAGAGAAATACATCTTTAATCAGATAGAGTCGTTTAATTGAATTTAATTCTCTTTCCAATAATCTCCCTCCATGCGAGATTTCGTTCTTCGAGCAGCGAGAGTTCTGAGCTACGTTCCGAATTCGGAATTCTCTTCAACAAACAACGACGTGATTGGGCATATTTTCAATCGAATTTTCAATCCACATCACAAAGATGCGCTGGAATTCATTTCTTGAAATAATATAGGCAAATTGGCAATGGAATTATTCAACTCAAATTAGTACATGCGAGAGAGAATGAATGGACTTCATTCAAATCCTGGCTTTCACGAGGAATGAGATGGAATTAAATTTATTAGGAAATATTTATTATTTGTTAATTTCCTGCAATGCCCGATAAGAAATGTATAGGAATAAGACTGAAAGGTATAATTGGATATTTGACAATGAGAGATATAATTTTAAAATAACTAGCTTTGCGAAGAAAAAAATACGGTGAACAAAAATAAGTAATCTTAAACAAATAATTGGAAAATATATTGTCTTAATGTATTATTTCCTTTATGATGAAGAATGTTACGATTAGAAACTGATTTTGAAGAGCAGTTGTCAGCTAAAAAACTATGAAAGCGCCGTTCGAAAGATTTCAATATAAAGAATATCAAACGGGTATTATTCATATTTTAGAAAATATTTTTATGATATGGTTTGCCTGGCGTGTTATTATGTATGGATGCAAATCTGAATAATTTAAAAAATAAAATATAATTCATAAGAAGATTAGAAAAGTGATTGTGTAGAAAAAGTGAAAGTAGTACATACTCAGATTGGTGATATGATGACGGTTATAGCGAAAACGATACGCAATAAATCAAAACTTCCTACTGTCTAGCGTTTTAACTGCGGAGGTTGAAAACACTGCCTTCTTTTTTAGACTGTATTCGGAAGAATAGAAGCAGAATGAAAGACAGAAATACGTAAACACTGGAAGATAGAAAGACAGAAAGAAAGACAAAGGAAGACAGAAAGAAAGAACTCACAGACAGAAAGAGAATACAGAATAAAGAAAGAAAAAGAAAGAAAGAAATGAGAGTGTAGAAAGAAGAAAGGAAGAAAAGTTTTATTGAAATATTTTCCGCGTAAAGGTGGCGTAAATCGCGCCTTAAACTTTTATACAACGAAAATGTGGGCATCCGGAAATTAATATAATGGAGACAACTATTTCGTAACATTACGACTTTCGAAAACGAAAATAATTGCTTTTCCTTTTAAAACTTGTACTTTGTAACCGCAACACCGTCAATTTATGTATTGTTAATACCATACCGCTTCCTGTTATCACAGAATATCGTAGGTGCATTAGAGGTGAGACATATCACTATTGTTTAGTGAAATGAATGAATGTATAAACAAGATCGCCTATTTCGATTGGTAAAAATTAATTTTTGATTCACAAATCAGCTGATGTAGAAAAAAATCACTTTCTGACTTGACTGATCCTGAGCGAAAAACAACGGGCTCCGCTCAGGATCCAACCGTTCTCCAGCAAACTTTTCTTGCGCCGGCGCCGAAGGCCTCTGAGC